TTCAAAACTAATTTGGTACGACTTGATGATGTTCTCCTTTCGTTGGCCGGCCGGTCAGATGACAGTGCCTGTTGTGACGGTGCATGGATATTGCACATCAACTGGATTTTATTCTTCCCGGGGCAATCAAGTACAGATCTGTTTATACATAGAGCAGGAAAAACTGCCACGCAAAAAAAAGGCAAGGATGTGTGGATCTTCAAGTGAAGGCCACCAACATTAGAAACGGCTGGAAATACCAGCCTGTAACGGCTGGAATTAAACAACACTATGAAAATAGAGGTATGCCAGTGAGTTAATAATAATTGAGCTACAGTGGGTTTTGCGTAGTTAAGCTAGCGTTTGGTCTGGACCAAAAAATATATATATATTTAGCACGCGTCCGCTTAGCACTCATGTTGGCATTTTAACACCAAATGACCCAAACATGCCAAGTGTGAACACACCCTAAATGCCATGTTTGCTTTGACCTCAAAATAACTTGCTTTAACATAACTGGGCCATATCTTCACAGTGGAACAAAGACGCACAACAAGCGCAGACTAAACTTATTTAAATTCTCCATTAGAAAAGCAGCAAGTAAAAAACATGTCAACTATAATGCATCCAAAATGGTTTCTCTGTATTCACACAATTTTGCCTGTCAGCTCATCCCCTCTTGAAGCAATCACAGAGGAACAAATTTGCTCAGAGAAATTAAATGAGATTTTATTGCTTCATAGTTGATTTATAAGAGCGACGCCCCGAATGGAAATGCATAAATTCCATTTCTCCCACTTGCGCCCGTCTAACAAACCAGACACGGCTAAAGGAAGGCAACATCCTCTTCTAATGCAAGGCAAACAGTCCGGGCTGTTCCCAAATATTAGTGCTAAATAAGCCTGATAGATCAGATATGGAAAATTCTCATTTCTACGAAAGCATCAATTTCCATAGCCTCGGCGGGCTAAGTGATTTGACGACTTCATTTCGACAGTTTCTCCCTCGTACTCTTAACTGACATTTTATCTACATACTGGCACAGCCGCAGATTGAACACACCCGGAAGACAATGACAGGCCCTTCTACCGTTGTCACTTCTCATTTCGGCGGAGAGTGATGCGTTTTACTGGCTTATGCCAATAATAGCCCCATCAAAAAGGAGACTCCACCTTGCTCTGATGTTGAGGGAGCACTTCATGTCGCAGGCTCTCATTTGTCAATTAACAGGAGCCTTCTGGTGTTGGTGCGCGGGGGCTTGAAAGACAAAGTCTCGCCAGTGACGAATGAAGAGAGACAGATGAGTGAAGCATGAGCTGGAGTGTAATACTATAATGTGCTTTAGATATGAATATAAAACGACATCACTGACAGTCCATACAAGGTTATATTTCATTTCTCGGTGTACCCAGCCACCATACTTTGTCTTCTTTGTTCCATTTTCATCAGACTACTTGCATCTCAATGTGACAGGCTGTCTACATTTAAAGTGGCTCCATTTTAAAATGCAAGTTAGCATATTTGATTTGCCTTCAAAAGACATCTATACGCAGGTGAGCACTGCTTTCTGTTTAATGTGGAAACTCCTATGCATTGGATGATATCTACAGCAGCTAATCTCTGATTGCACGATAACTTCAGTCCAACTGTGTAGTTATGAGCATCATTTTAAATTCTGTTGGATGTTTGGCTGTTGCATTCAAGGTTTATACAACTTATAACAGTTTCCCTTTGAAATATATTCTCCTTGATTTAGCTGTTGGCTCAAATGTAAGGTGGCGTAATAAACTGAATCTGATGACAGACAGACTGTCGGTCTTCACAGACAGAAAGTGACACCGGAGAGAGGAATTCACGGACGCTTTGTACCTCTGCATGACTGAAGGCCATCATATTTACCCCTCATCCGGACAGGACCAGACAAGACAATAACATTCCCTTTGCTTTCGCCATCCACTTCTCACAAAGACATGCATGTCTAGGACACTGGAGGGGACACTTTGACAACAGTCCCCAACCTGGGATTACTCCTCCTGTCCATGATCTAATACCACTTCCTGGCCAGTCTTGAGAAAGGTATCATTTCACCTTCACACCAACTCAACGTTAAAACTGCACAAAAGGCACCTAGCGAAAAGTCTGATAAACTGAATGTGATTTTACATGCGTGTTTGCAGAGATTTTCTCTGACACCTCTCACATCAGGTAACATAGCCTGTGAGTGCACACAATGGTTTTACGTAAAGTCACTGTGATGACTTTGTCTGCTTACTGCGAATTCTCAAAATAATGGCTCAAATAAATGTATGGTGACTAAACTTTAGATTGTATCAATTGCTCTTCACAGGTAGAACATAAAATATCATTATGCAATCCTTAATGCACAACAATATATATTATGATACATTTTTACTGAACTTGGCAGTCTGAGAATTGGTAGATTCTCTCAAATGGTATATTTTTGAGTTAACTATCACTTTACAAAAGTGAATAAGGCTTGTTTTGGGAAGGAAACAATATGAAAAATATGGAAGGAACAAGACACGAAGAGGTCTTAAAAAAATCAAAGGTTGACAAGCACTAGAATGCAACATTCATGGCATCGCATGTATGGCTGTAGCAGCAGTGCATTAAAACGATGAACTAAATGGATACCACACCCATGAAAAGTCTGTCATTTATTCACCCTCATGTGGTTTTAAAACTGTATGACATTCTTCTATGGAACATAAAAAGATATTTTGAAGAACGCTGGAAACCAAATAACACTGGAGAACATTGATTTTTATTGAATGAAAAATGATACAATTCTCTGTTATTGCCAAAGAAGAACATGTAAATGAATAAATGATGACAGCATTTTCATTTTTCATCCCTCACAAAAGGATTTACCTTGCAAACTGTCACTAAAAAGCAATAAGAATCTAAAACAGACGATCATAACCCATCACGAATAAACGCTCATTTCTTGATGACCTAAATTGTCTTGTGGCAGCCCTGAGGACCATGAAAGAACCTTTCCATCACTTTGTCATGTTCACATATTTAAGTCCTCATGCTAGAGGGCAGGATGTCTGTCTATTAACTTCTTACTGTGGGGTCTTTGTGTGAACATGGCAGAAGAGGCAGTGAAATCCTGACTGTAGGCCACATCCTCACTTTATTCTGATCACATGCTTCTTTATAAATTAGATTTCACACTGAATCTAACCCTAACCCCAACAAAGCATATGACCAACACAGCTCCAGTAACAGAATCTTCTGTTCTGCTCAAAGTCTCTGTGAAGTGGCAAAAACAATTATTTCGGAGCCAGCCTTAACATTCTGCATTTGATACGTACGTACAGATGTCAGAGAGGGTGGCTGTCTGCTGACAAGCCTTGTCCCCAAATATCATCTTTATTGGAAGTGTGATTCCGGGTAAACAAGACTGGGGTTAGTCCAAAACATAAGTGGAGAAAAACCTCTCTCTTCGGTGTGTGCGACACTGCATCGGTAATGTAAATCCTGCAGGGTTTTAATGGGAAAACAATGAACCCGGCATTGTTCTAAAAAATTCCCATTAACAGACTATCGATGTTCCCAACTATTCTGGTAATTATCTTACACATAAAAAGTTATAAATGATTTGATGATAGCATAATGGTTCAACTAAGGCAATAAACCACAGTGCAAGCTGTGTAGCAATGCTATGTGTATGGTGAAACTGTCAGGAAGCATTACAGATGAAACTGATGCAATAAGAAGCATTGCATTAAAGAACAAGGACAGAGTCCATGGATGGAGTAGTTGTGCTGATTCCTTCAGTCAAGATCAGATATCTGTTTGTATAGCATTTTATAGAATTTATGCACATGACGTTCGACCAAATTCAGCATGATGACAAAAATACACACAATTTTATATCTAAACAATAAACATAGATAATTCTGGGTTCTACAGCGTTCAACCTATGCCTGGTCGCCAGTCACAAATGCTCATTAGGAATATTAATGCGCCGATAAGCGTACATTTATGTGCGACACATTGAAGCAGCGCAGGATTTGGCAATTATTAATGTGACAGACTCCAGTGCAAAGCGAATCAATTAAATGGTAGAATTCACATTTTCAGCACAGATAACTGCCTCAAGACGACAATTTTCACATGACAAAAAGAGGCCCATTCAGAGTCCTTCAAGGCCTGACAGGTCAAGAAAAGAAGTCTGAAACAAAGGCACCTTATAACCATCATCTCCTCTCTTTTAGTTGTCAGATCAGCTTTGCTAGCCCTGCTGGTGAAATGGCATCCCCCTCCCCAGCTGCCACAAGGTGCTTCTTCATGTCCTGTCAAAGGAATCTTTTATTCTATTTGCTCAGCATTAACATGTCACATTTATTGATCAGGCTTTTTATCTGGCCACAGCATGGCACGCCGCTACTGTACCCACCTCTCTCTGATGTCTCGATGACATGGCTGACGATGTAATGCACATGACGCATGTATTAAATTGCACTTAATGCAAAGGTGTGACTGTCCACGTGACAGGTAGATTGAATCAGAGATGTTGTATGCGGTTGGCAATGTTCTAGAATGTTTCATAGGATAGAAACATCCTTCACACACAAACTTTCTCAACCAATTCAAGCTTTTTTTCTCTAAGCAAAGGGAGTCTATTACATATTTAATAGCCATCTATGATATGAATTCATTGATGTGCACTGCCAGCATCTGTGGTCAAGCAGCATCTTAAAGGGCCTAACAGAGGTGTACTCAAAACAGAAGTACACCAAAATCCAAAACACAACAGATGTGAAAACTACCTATAATGGTTATTTTCCATCTTTACAGAGAGGATAAAGTCGACCATAAGGCATAATCCTATTGCAAAACATGATGTCTCACCCACCTCAGATCCATATGGGAATCCAGTATGTGCATAATAGGTGCCATGCATGTCATTGCTGTCCTCCGTCATCATAGACCTCCTATTATCGTAGCCTGTTAACAGTTTAACTCTAGAGACAAAAGCAGTAACTTACCTCAGTTGGTTGAAGCTGAGGTCTAATCTTCTTGCCAATTCTCCATATTTTGCCCCAAGAAAATCAGGAATGACTTCCCAATCAAGCCCAATGCAGGACACCTGCATCAATGCATCAGAGAGAGGAAGAGTGTTACATTTTTTTAGGTTACTTAGTTAATTATACATATAAGTACTGAGTAATCTCAATTAACAACATGTAGCCTACTTACTATAATGTTAGGGGTTAGTTGCATGTATTTCAAAAGCATACTTTACTGTTATTCCTATTTTAAGTACATGTAATGTGTAACAAAGACACTGTAAAATCAAGTGTTACCAGGAAGAGATGTCAGTTTTATTAACACAGTTGGTACTTTGAATTAATGTTCTTTCAAGAAACAGACCTTCTTAAACATAAAAGCTGGTGGGGTTATTAAATGTCTGTTATTGTTACTGTTAATGTCTGTAAGGCAAATAATTCATATACAGCTATTGTGTGAATTAAACCACTGTTATTATGTGAATCAACGACTATTTAAGCAGTTAATAATAAATATTTGTCTTAATATTTTTGACTACTGTGTCGCGATACAGAAAATGCATTTTTATTACTATTTTATTATTTTTTTTATATAACTTCATGTCACTTCATGACTTACAATAACAAACAAACAAAAAAGACAAAAACAAACGCACACTTCTGGGCGTTAGCTATCTATTGGTTGAATTCATAATATAGGTCACAGGATAACGTGTTTGCAATATTTCACTTACCTGACTTCCATTCACTACAACCATTGACTCGTTGTATGCCATTTCAGTCAAATGACAGTTCATAAAGAAAGAAGCTTCTAACGAGGACTAACACAATGGTTTTTATGCTCATAAGACTGGAAAGTTTCCTTTATATTTCCAAAGTAAACTTTGAATCTACGCTCCGTATGAAGCTTTACTTCTTCCGCGTGCTCGTGTCAGCTGATCTCAGACGGAAGCACGCGCCACTGTTCAATTTCTCAAATCAGTTTTAGCTGTTTACGCTATTCCTAAGGATGTTTTGCCATAAAAAAATAATGATGAGTAGCATTATTACTAGCAATGCGGACAGCCTTCTGTTGAAAAAAGCAGCCGTTTTAATCACTGGAAGTTAGAATCTCCAAAGAATGCGTTTAAGATGGTATGCGACATATTATTACAATTCAGAAGTCATATATTTCTCTGTATTATAAGTTGGATAATCATATTTTACTGTATTTCTTCACGTTCATGTGTTCATTTAATAGTTTATGGCAAAATAACAAATTAAAGCTTTATTGTTATCGTTGTATGACAGACAGGGCTCGAGAGCATGACGTCATGACGGATCCTCCCACAGGCGGAAGTTTTGGACGCGCAGACAGACAGTGTGGAGACGAGTAGGATTTCTGATCTAATGCTGGCGGTAGCGCATGAATACTAGAATAATGCAACGACGACTTAGTTTGCCTACTAAAATATGCTTCATTAGACGCCACTGGAAATCTTTTTTATATTACCATCTTTATAGAAAATAAAGGGATTGTGTCTGTAAACGTTCATACCTGTCGTATCACATCGGAGCGCGTGTGTAATGTAAGGTAAAGTGGTTCGTTGTGGTCTCTTTTGACAAATTTCATGATAGAAAATGCTTTGTAATGCATGTTTAACAGATGTAAAATAATAAACGGGTTTTTGTATTATTATTATTGTTGTTATTGTGTTGTTGTTATTTATCGTAGCTTTGAATGAAGCTATATGACGCAGTTTTTTTCTTTCTTCTTTTTTACTATTTGAGTTGGCTGAATTTCCGTAACGTACTGATGTGAACGTTTTTCTAAGCACTTAAATTATAATTAATAGGCTGTTGTTTTTATTGTAAACTGATTTTATGTTGCTTACTTTGCCTAAACTGTTTTACCCATCACTTATTCAGCAACCCTTTCAAATGTATCTGTAACTTGAGGGGTAAAAAACTGTGAAATGTACCCTAGTGTTATTGTTTATTTTAATAAATCGTAAATGAGCGGGTCTCAACAGAATTTTTTTTTTTTTTTTGAGCAAACTCGGGGGTTTCGGACGCTTTAGGCAACTCTATAAATAACTATAGCCTATAGGTAGCCATAGTCATGCATAAACATGACGATATGAAATATATTTAATACATTTGCATTTAAATAATATCAATTATGACCCCCAAAAATATTTTAGCATTTACCGAGTGTTTGGTGCCAGGTTCATAAGCTCATTTGTCATGCAGACAATAAAGAGAAACATTTTGCTCGACGCTTAAATTTATGGTTACCCTTCTCTGCCCTAATTTCTCACGCAGTGAGAAAACAATCACACATCTTTCCAAGCTTAAGAAAGATTCTGCTCTGACTCTCAGCTTGTTAGACTAGCCTATGTTGATACCGGCCATTTCTCTGTGTTGTATTAGAAAAGGAAATAACAGCCTACAGCAAAATCGTGCCACTATTTGCACTTTCAAAAACTTAAACAGCCTACAAATAGCCTATTGTTAATGATTCAATAATGAAAAGTGTTTTTCAAATCGACTATGTTTTTCAGAATCAAACTTGAGAAAGGCCTACTTCTTGTGGCTAAATAGTTCAACTTCTAAATATTAGAACACGTAAACTACGTTAAAAAGGCAAATGCAATCAGAAGCCTAAATATTGATTCCTGTAGAGAGAGAGTATGTGTATGAGAGAGCGAGATATAGGCCTACCCTATAGGATGAACACGTTCTTATTGGTTTATAAACTTTTACAATAAAATTATTTATATTTTATTTTAAAAGTATGATGTAGGCTACTTGGCTAATTTAATAGGTAAATGTGATTTTTTTTAAAGGAGGGGGAGAAGCTTATTTTATTTAAGTGTATTAAATAAAAGCGTTCTGGGGTTTAATCGCCAAGTTTAGCAAACCAACAAAGTTTATTGTTTGTCAATGACAAGGGTTATCTGTTTCATGTGTCTGAGATTCTCCAGCAAAATATACATTTCTTTCACGCTGATGACTGTCCACTCCAGGTTTTCTTGCTCTCCAAGATGACCTGTCAAGCGGATTACCGCAGAAAGAGATTAATGGTGGAGGCGGGTTGCAATAATAATCGTTTTGTTTGATGTGACAACTTTGATAGGCGTTGATTTACTTACAAACTGATAGGCTTTTAATTGAGCGCCTCCATCCAGTGAGAGATGAAAGGCAAAGCGCATTGAAAAGCTGCCCGATTGCCCCGGAGCCTCAATACTGATTAGCCGTCTCAGCGGTGAATAGTTCAAGGCTTTTTAAACTTCTTTTCTCAAAGGTCTGACAGACCATTTCTCTTTCTTTTATGTATTTTGGTATTGTCAAATAAAATGAATAATTTTATTGTGTGTAAATAAAATTGAGTTGACATGAATGGGGAAAAAAACTGTCTGGACTATTTTTTTTTTCTTTTAGCATTCAGAGTTAAGGTTTGGTTTGGCTTGAGGCATCGTAATTATTACCTACAAGTGAATATTAGATTTGTGCACAACATGTATGTCCGGAAAGACCTGAAACTGCAGTGAGACAAAGAAAATACAATTTGAAGTATAGGCTATCATGTACACCTGTCTCAAACTTTGCCTCGGCATATTTAAAACTGGTTTTAAGCTATCATGCAGTCAGAAAAAGCACAACACATCGACTTTTCTTTCTTTTTAATTCAATAGTAGGCTACCTGCAGAGGAAAATAAATTATAAACATATGCACTGTAAAAAAAATAATTCGTAAAATAACAACAACAAAAAAAGTTTAATCAATTATGGTAATGGCATAAAAATTACAACAGGAGAGACGTGAATTTGTGTTGTTAATATAAAATTAAATTAGCTTACACACATGTTATAACCTATATAAACTAACTTAAGCAAAATTAATTTTTACTTTAATTGCTTACCTCGTGTTTTTATTTTAGAACTTTTTTTGTTAGGACTATAAAAAGTATAATTATGACGCTCTCAAGAAAGTAGCTAAGTTAGACTACTTCAAAATATTCGAATATTTTTACGTTTTTGTTTTGTTTGTTTTTTCCTCTCAGCAGCTGTATTTCTAAATCCTATGATTAATGACCAGTAGTTGGTTTTCTATTCCTACAACTGAAGAAAAAGATGGAAGAAACAAGAAACACGGGGAAAGAAAGGGTTCTAGTCTTACCACAGGTTTTAAACAAAAACCTTTCCAAACTGAATCAAACAGAGAAACTGCCCCTCAAATTAAGTGACTGTTCTCCGGGATGCTTCTTTTGCCCTTTCCTCTGTCACTCGCGGCACATAATCAGCTTCAAAAGCTGACGTGAAGTAAGAAAAGGATTGACAGCGACTGACAAATAACTGATTGATTGTGGTCGAGCAGAATTGACAGTTGACGGAGGGGTGGGGATAGAAATAGAAGGGCGGTCTATATTATATTGAAAACATGTGACATTCACATCCCTCTATCACTGCATTGGTCTGCTCTTGTCAACGCTTGTCTGATTGGGGAATTCAAACACTACAAGTTGATCTTGTGTTTATGGTTTAGCCCGTTCACATAAGGTAGTCTAACGGTAAAAAAAAAAAAAACCTAAAGGCACACAACATCTTAGAAAAAGAAAACTAAATATAAATGCATACAATTAATGAGTAGTACATTAAAAGGAAAAATGGTTACTAAAAATGTGGGTCTTTCGCCTAAAAAGAGCTATGTTTCTATAATAAAAAATAATAAAAATAAATCTCCCAAACTTTAATGTTTTAATTCTGCTTTTGACGATGGTGTTAATCAGTATCAGAAAACATGGGGCTTAAACTTATAAATGCCACCAAAAGAGACGAAAGTGTTAATGTATGAGAGAATTAATTCTCTCTTTTAAAAAATTGCTAAATTATAAAAGCATGCTAGTGAAAATGAATAGCGAGCAGTTTAAATCTCATTTTTGACAGAGACGTCGGCGTGTACGACAACCTACATATTGAGCAAAATCTCCTCCCCCAAGTTGTCAAAATAGAGGCGCTTGCAGGAGGAGGAACGTCACATCCCCTTGACCCTCCAATCACCTCGGGGTCCCATTTGATTGGAAGGCGGCAAGGGCTTTAATCTCGGACTAATTCAGCTGCTTTTGAAGTGAAATTTTCTACCAGTTCTTGGTTTGGGAGGACAAGCGCGCGGACCTACGGGAAGAGACAGAGCGCGCGCTATGCCTTTGGTGTCACACGCGGTTCCGGATCTGCAATAGCCTCGCGCTTTGCTCCATGCGGATTATACTACAATTTATCTTTATTTCTACTATTTGAATGAAGATTACGGCAAAGTGTTTTTTTATTTATTAATCTGATAAATGAAATCCCAACAAAATACATGAGAACTGGGTCATGATCACATCGCCTTCTGCTTCTGCTTCAAGAAATAGTGATACTGATCGAGTCTGGGAAAGCACCAGCAGCAGCTCTCGGAATAACAACTCCGCGGTCGTCAGCAAGCCTTTTCTCCATTCCGTCCCTCCTTCGGACCCTTTACGGCAAGCTAACCGAATTCCCATAAAGATTTTGAAAATGCTTACTGCACGCACAGGACACATTTTACACCCTGAATATCTTCAGCCATTGCCATCCACCCCGATTAGTCCAATTGAGGTAAGATGCGTTTTCGCTGTTTCGTAAGCTGTTCGTGTATTTGACAAGTCCGCATTCTATTTTGTCGGAGAAATGACGGAGCATTAGCCTACGATAATCTTGGATTAGACGTAGGGGAGCTGGTGGATAAAATGAATAAAAGCCAATAGTCAACATCGTATTTTAATTTGACCACATTTCTCTTTAATCCAGCTAACATTGTAAATGCGCTTTTGGCACGGGCTTCCAGCCCGTTTCGTTATCGACTCGCTTAAAACGCTCGAATAGGAGCGACGAGTCGTCTAGGGAAGTTTATTTGTTGTTTATTTAGACGAATACCTTGTAATGATTGTGCTTTTACATATTTGTGGTGTTTACGTCCTTTATTTTTTTTATCTGTCCTCGCAGCTCGATGCCAAGAAAAGTCCTCTGGCTCTTCTTGCGCAAACGTGCTCTCAGATCGGTAAACCGGACCCTCCACCCTCCTCCAAACTCTCCTCGGTAACATCAAACGGATCTAACGAGAAAGAGTCGAAATCTGGCCCTTTAAAACTGAGTGACATCGGCGTGGAAGACAAATCCAGCTTCAAGCCGTATTCCAAGCCATCGGATAAGAAGGACTCGTCTTCTGGGGTGTCGAACGGAGAGAAATCTGGTTTCCGTGTGCCTAGCGCCACCTGCCAGCCATTCACTCCCAGGACTGGCAGCCCGAATTCCAGCACTTCGGCTTCCCCGATGCCGTCAGATGGAAAGGGAGAGAGAGACGAAAAGAAAGAGTCTGATTGTAATAAAAACTGCACCTCGGATGGATCTGCACCGACCAGCATCAGCCATAGCAGGATAAGCGTGAGCTGTGCGGGGATTAACGTGGAGGTCAACCAGCACCAGGAGACCACATCAGGATCCAAAGCAGCGACGTCGGAGTCCTCGTGTGTCACCTCTTCATCCTCAGCCTCCGTCCTGGGGTCAGGACTTGTAGCCCCCGTTTCTCCGTACAAACCCGGCCAGACTGTTTTCCCTCTACCCCCGGCTGGCATGACGTACCCTGGCAGTTTAGCAGGGGCCTACGCCGGCTATCCC